CTCCCTTCTCTGGGCTCCTGACTCTTTCTGCAGCCTTTCTACTGCTACTCATTGGCCCCTTCTTATTGCTGTCTTTCAGCCCCACCCCTGATCTTAGAGTAGGAAATGTCTAACAGCTTATGACATTATGCAGTTGCGAGAGAGTTAACACTTGCCAAAAAAAGCAAAAATAGAAAAAAAGCAGAAAAAGCAACAAACAAAAAAAAACAAAAAAAACAACAACAACAAACAAACAAACAAACAAACAAACGACAGCAAAAATAAAAACCAAACTCAAAACAAACAAAAAAAACAAAACAAAAAACAAACAAACAAACAAACACCATCGACCATGTTGCTGGAGGTATGGGCATTCTTGTTTTAGAACTTGTGGTGGTCGAGCCTTTTCCTCGGTTATTTCCCTTCATCTCCAGCCCTTGCTTCACGAGTCAGATTAACCGATTGTTAGGTCTACACATTTTTTTCACAATATCGTATCGCCTCTCAACTGAAATGTTGGATGACTTTCAGGACCGAACATAGTTGAATTTGAAGGTAGAACACCCGGACACAATACCAGAGGACTCCTCATTCATGAAGTAGATTCAAAGAAGTATTCCATCAACAGCAACCCTTAATAAATGCTTGGGTAAGGGAGACAATGACATAAAAAGGTGTAACTATACAATAATGAACAGAACAACAGAAAAGCCGCTTTAAATAATGAAAAAACATAACAAGCAAGGGTTTTTTTTTCGAAAAAGGGGAAATGTTGCGATTCTTTGTATGCCTTAGGAAACATTTATTGATTTTTATTTAGAAAAAACAAATATGTGAATTTAGCCTAAGCAAAACCACAGTATAATTTAAATGTCTGCCCATTGATTATATAAACAAAATGGCACAGATGTGTACGAAAGGTTTACCTTATTCAAATTCATGCAATGAAAAGAAATTGTGGTAAAATAATAATACGATGAATTTTATTTAGCAGAAAGCAATAAAATAACGTCACGCTAAAAAGTATCGAAATATGACGGGCGACGGGACAATCATCATCATCCAGTGCCAGATCTGCGACAGACATCGGCGATCATGGTTTTCCATTCATTCCTTTGCTCGGAGGCTCTCAAAAAAG